TTTCCATCTTTTTCTGGTCAGCCAGCAATTCAGCAAGCATACCTGAAACTGCGCGTTGTGCCTCTTCTTTACACACCACGCCACTGTCGAGTCTGGCAAAGTGTGCGATGGTGTCACGATGTGCGCACGTAGGCAGACAGCAGGACTTCAAGTTATCGGGTACATCTTGGTGGGAAGAAGCTTTCTTCCACTCTTGTTGCTTTATGGATTTTCCTATTTCGACTGTTTTGCGCGTTGGTGTTCTCCTGTGGTCTTCCACTGTCTTGATATCAGCAGATGCTTAGCGCTGCCAGGTCGGAGCGTCCACTAGTAAGCTTGCTGTTTCTTACATACACATCGCAATCACTCTTTATTGTCAACGTCACAACACTATTTAAACAGCAACAGAAAAGCCGAGTGAACGGGCAATCTCAAACGACGAGGCTATGTGGTGTTAACGAATGCGTGCCGTTAGAGGCTCACGCCTCGTTTGTGTTTAAATCAACTTTGAAACGGCAAATTCTTGCATCGCTGAATAGTTCCGCTTTTAACCGCAGTATGCGTGACAACTAGATTTTGCGGCGATATTGTCACATTTCCCTTTTAGGAAAAGTCCACGTCAGGTGATGCCGCCCGTCGATTAGGCATCCCGTTTCGGAGTGTGTGGCTATGGCTACACACTGATGGCACCTCCGATTATCAACAGGATGCTCGCCGTTTTTTTCCTTGCAGCTGAAAAGTCGGACAAGGGGAGGCGGCAGTAAACTCCATTCTTTCTTTAGACCTAATCGTGTCAGCTATCGTCGCCGGTGGCGTGCTGTGTGGCAAAGAGGCGTTAAGAAGCGACGATGGGTTGTGATGCGAGAGTTCAACTTCAAAAATTGTTTTCTCGCTTTCAACAAAAATTACTTTGATTAAACTTCCAGAATCAAAAGACAATTGATTGTTCTTCCAAACCTTTCATATTTTGTATTTTTACTTAGACCACCTCAGGGTGAAATAAGCACATACTTGCCAGCTCTCCCGATTGTATGAACGCAACCCCAAATCTCTCGAAAAACAGCCGCTGTAGTTTTTTTTTTTTTTTTTTTTTATGACTTTTTTGTTATAATTTATTACACGTGTGTCAGTGCAAGTTACTCGAGAGTAGGTTTAGGTTACTCCGGCAGGTTACCACGTGACAACTCGGAGCAGGAGCGTAGAACGAGGGTAGATTTTCAAACGCCAAGGTACGAAACCTCTACTGTTGAGTAAGTTCGAGTGCATTTGGGAACACGGCTTATATGATTGTTAGCTTCCTGTTCAGAAAAACGCAGTGCCGCTGCCGCTTTCACCTACGCACGAGCACGGCCGTTCTGGACTCGGCACGCGCGCGCCTCTAGCCCGGCCATGGCACGAGGAGATGTCTACGCAGTGCCTTAGGTGGCGCTAGGGTCCGATTATTTTTATTACAGTTTTTCTTCACTTCCGTTGTCTCTTTTTGCTGCAAACAACTGCAGCACTGGCAGCACCCCCCGCCAACTGAGCACCTTAGAGGGCCATTCTACGGGGCGCAACATCGGCGCATTGATTACAGATACCCTCACTTCATTGAACATACCGTTGTGTAACTGCATAGTTTTTGGTTCTGAAAACGCCAATGTAATGCTGGGAAAAACAAATTGCGTGGCGGCAGTGCTGACGGTAGGCCAATGAAAATGTTATCATATTGGTTGTTTGTGCCATTTGATAAACATTGCGGCTAAAAAGCTGCGTTCTGTCTCTCGGCTAAGGTTGACGAAGTTCTCGTGGATGTTTTTTTATTCGGAAAACAGTGCAAAAAGGAAAGTTGCCCTGAAACAGTTCCACAAAATACACAATGTTCAGTTCCGAAAAATCCTGAAGCACGTGGCCACCCGGTGGTTGTTGCTGGGGAAATGCCTGCAAAGGCTACTAAATCAATGGGCACCTCTGTTGAGTGTTTTGCTTCATGAGGTGAAGAAAGAAGGCACAAGGTCCAAAATTTCTGTCGTTCTACCAAATTCTAAAGACGACGGTGGCGTCAGCGCCAACTGCACAGTCAAAGCACATTCTGAGTAACCAGAAGAGAAAAAAGACCAGAGAAAGTACACCAGTGACAGTGAAAAAGGTTAAGAGCACTGGTGTGGCAGACAAGACTGAGCAGTTACCATTTTTAACACGTGAGGAACGGCTGTTCATGTTCTTAAGCTCTGATCTCAACAAAGCATGCTGCCTTTTTTTGGAGACCACTATCCCTACTTTTGAGGCATTGAACTGCCGCCTGCAAGCACAAGCTCCTCAAACACACGTTCTGCGATCACTGCTCTTTGGCCTTCCTGAAGAGCTCCTGTCAAGGTTTGTGAGGCCAGGCCTGTTGAAGGGGCACAAGGACCTTCTTGAGATTGACTGCAAGAGCCACGATGCACAGAGGGATGATGAAGACATTGTGATTGGTCAAGAAGCTAAACACATTGTAGATAGACTGTTGCCAAGTACACGAGAACAATTTTTGAGGGAGTTCGAAGATATATGGTCACTGCTTGTGACTATATTCACCTCAAATTTCCATTGGCTCACAATGCACTCAGTAACGCACGTGTAGCGAACCTGAAATCCATCGAAACCATGTCATTTCGGAACGTCCTCTTTTTTTTGGGGAGCGGTTTCCAGCCTTATTGCCGGCAGAGCAGCAAGAGTCTGAAGATGAAGCTCTCAACTTTCTGGAGATGGAATTTGTGAAGCTGCAGGCATTTGTCATTCCTCCAGATGCGCTTCAAGAGGAGCGAGCTGATGTCTGGTGGAACACCATTTCCCACATCAAAGGCGCAGACGGACTTCTGAAGTTTGGTCGTATCTCAGCAGTAATGCTTGGAATCCTGTCAATACCACACAGCAACACTGAATGCGAAAGGCAGTTTAGCGTAATAAAGAAAAATCGCACCCAGTTCCGAGCATCTATGTCTGACACGACCCTCGGTAATGTTCTTTTGGCGAAGTGTCACAGGGGCGAACATTGTTATGCTTGACAGTATTCCGAGGACTTCCTGAAAAAGGGGCGGCATCAGCCACGTCGAACATTTAGCAAATCATTAGTGGTGTAGCTTGTTGGTAGTTTGGACGAAACAGTTCATTTCCTGCTTCCCCCCCCCCCCCCCCCCCCCTTGTTAAGATCTCTCTAATACTATCCTGGCGAACCTGGCAAGTGTGTAAACGACTGTTTATGCATCAAAACACACTTTTTGGCAACTTCAGGATTTTTTTTTCTTACTCCGAGATATTTAATTGGGCGATTTAAACATTTTTTTATAGATTGTATACCTGCAGGGCAGCCGGTAAAAAGTTCTAGTTAGTCCCCAGAGCAAACAGATATTTTTCAATAAAATAACAAAAATGTTAAATTTTTCACAAAAAATTGTGTTTTAAAAAAATATTTGAATTAAACAAAACTGCACGAGCCCAACCACATTGCAAGTCGAAAGCCGTGCAGATTTAAGAAAAAAATTGTTGGGTGTTTCATAAAAAAGCTGATTTTTTTATAAATTATAGAGTGATACCTATAGCTTCACACTATTTTAAAAGCTAAAACCACGCTCACACCATCAAAAATTTTTTTTCATAAAAAATATTTCAGGGCATGGCTACAAACAATGCGGCAAAAGGCCATGGATTCTATTTTTAGAAATCGAAGGTGGTCGAGCGCAACGCCCGGGACGTTTGACATGGAATGACCCAAAAGTGGGCACCACAGCAAAAACATGGCGAGAGGCATGAGGCAGTGCAAGCTTATAGCTTTGCTAAATGCTTTCACTGAGCGAGCTCTTGCACAATCGGACCATCCTACCTTACTGTGAGCTCGTGCTCTAGCCATCACTGTAGTGCACGAGGCTTCTGGATCGCTTCAACCCCTTTGCCTTTTATGTGTTTGTGTTTGCTCAATGGTGTGCAGGCACAAGCCATAGAGAAGATTGATGTCGCATAGTGTCCTTTCTGTTTTTTCTCATAGTTTCCACCAGTCAGACTGGCACAATGTCTTGATGTGGCATGCGCAAGACCTGCCCCTCGTCATGTGCATCAATTATTGTCATAATGGAGTCTTCGCAACTTAAAATCAAATTGAACATTAGTGCTTAGGCAGCGTGTGGTCGGTGTGCCAGTGTACATACAGTGACGCTGGTTTACACTGTAAATGAGAGAGTTAATCGGTGCATTACGACTGCTAGCCTTGGGTCTTTAATCTGTATCACACAGTAGTGATACATGGCCGCAGATTGATGCGATGTTCATCCAGATTGAGATGGGCAGTGGCGGGGATCGAATCCAGAGTCCCTGGGCTCTGCATCATAAGCTTCCGCTCCCAGCTACAGTGTACAAGCCTCTTCGGCCATTTACAATATCTTCGTAGTCATTCCAGTCAAAGGCAAAGGGAAAAATCTCAACGCTCTGTTTCCCCGCCTAAAGACAAGGAAAAGGACTATAGACACCTCTAGAACCCACTGAAACATGGAGACACGCATAAACATGGAGACACTAGCACATTAGTGTCATTTTCAAACAGAAAAGAGTAAACTTTCTTTGATCCTATGGATTAAGTTGGAGTACATACGATGTGTAAAGTGCAAGGTGGGAAACAAAAACTGTAGAAAACCATTTGTGAGTGCAGCAAAGCTTACCGCACACTCCACACATTCTGTGTACTCTGATTTCATCCGTAGGATCAAGGTAAGTTTTTGTCTTCCTCATACTTGTTTTTTTTTTTTTGTTTCTCTGCAGATTGCACACTTGAGCTGATAGACTTTTTTAGACTGCCTCAAAGCACAATGTTAGGAAGCGAAATTTTGATTATGTGCATAGATTAGAGGTCTTGCAGTGCTGATGTGACTCAGAAATTCTGCTGGGAAAGATAAAAAGCCACTACCGACTATAAAATGGAACTAGACTGTGAGCAAAATAATGCCAGTTCTCAAAGTTTCACTTCTGAGTAACTGACCGGACAAGTGACTGACTTTTGAAATTTGTCCTAGGTATCCTTGCGAGCACTATCTCGCAGCCGCCAAAGACCTAGTACGCAGATACCCACAGCTCAAGGACAAGTCACGAACACACTGTGTGAGTGTTTTTTTTTCTTGCTTGGATGACTTAATTGCAGCCAATCGACTGTGCTGCCTTTGCCCTTCATGGCAAACACATATTCATCAGATTATGCACTGGTGTCAAACATGAATTGTTTGCACTTGCCAGGTTCTGATGGCAATATCTTCAATGATGCAATTATCAGCCAAAAGTCTTTGCTAATGTTATATTTTAGGTTTCCTGGCATGCAAGTATCAAGAACCGGGCCAGAAACATAAGGAAAAGGATGCCAGCCGGTGTGAACGAAGTGGACGCCAGAAAAGCTGAAGCTAAGGCTCACCGAGAGCGAAGAGCTGCACTTCCTTGCAACCAGCAGTGCAGGCCAAAGAATGCAGTTAGAAATGTAAGTTCATAACTTGTCAGTCCTTTAGGATTTTGTTTCTTTAAAGCCTTGCCTAGCGAAGCCTCCACACTTAGAATTTAGGTTAAAGGTTTGCTTCAGAGAAGGGTCTAGTCTGCGGGCTGCCAGGAAACTGCCTGAATTTGCCCTCTGCAAGCTGTACCACATGTGCTCATAACAACCATGGAAAGAAATTGAACTTGAGGAGGCATTTAACTAATTTATGTACTCAGCATGTAACATTTGCGGCACTATTGATTTTCCTTGTCAGTACAAGTGTAATCTCCAACCTCCATAAAAGAAAGCTCAGAGACGTACTCTGGCACCCAGTCACGACAGTAGAAAAATAAAGAAAAAATGGCAGTAAAGGAGATGTTTGTCAGGTTTGGCAGAACTGTTGCATGAGGGCCAATAGCCCGAGACATTGCGCTCGACCAGGTTCGATTTCTAAAAAAAGTTCACTTTTGCCGCATTGTTTGTAGCCATGCCCTAAAATATTTTTGATGAAAGAAATTTTTTGATGGTGTGAGCACGGTTTTAATTTTTAAAAATAGCGTGAAACTGTGTATCACCCCATAATTTATGAGAAATCAGCTTTTTTATCAAACACCCAACAATATTTTTTTTCTTAAATATGTATGGCCTTCGACTTGCAATGTGGTGGGGCTTGTGCAGTTTTGTTTAATTTAAATATTTTTTAAAAACAATCTTTTTTGGAAAATTTAAAATTTTTCTCATTAAAAAAAAAAAAAAATCTAATTGCCCCGGAGACTAAATAGAAATTTTTACCGGCTGCCCTGCAGGTATATAATCTATAAAAAAGTGTTTAAACCACTCAATTAAATATCTTCCAGTAAAAAAAAAACTCCTGAAGATGCCAAAGAGTCTCTTTTGACGCATAAACAGCTGTTTATTTCACCTCGAGGTGGTCCAAGTAAAAATACAAAATATTGTGGGTTTGGAAGAACAATCAATCGTCTTTTGATTTTGAAAGTTTAATGTAAGTAATTTTTGTTTAAAGCGAGAAAACAATTTTTGAAGTTGAACTCTCGCACCACAACCCGGCGTCGCTTCTTAACGCCTCTTCACCGCACAGCATGCCACCGGCGACAATAGCTGACATGATTAGGTCCAAAGAAGGAACGGAGTTTTACTGCCGCTTCCCCCTGTCCGTCTTTTCAGCTGCAAGGGACGAAACGGCGGGCATCGTGTTTATAATCGGAGGTGCCGCCAGTGCGTAGTCATAGCAGGCCCCTTGTACACTTTGTATCCGAGGGCGGCTCCTCACACTCCGAAACGCGATGCCTAATCGACGAGCAGCATCAGCAGACATGGACTTCTCAACGCGTCAGGCGACGTGGACTTCTCCATAAATATATTTTACTCTCCATGAGAAGTAAGATATATTTATGGAAAGGTGGAGTATTTTTGCCTAAAAGCCACATGGTATTGGGATTGCTACGTAATAAGCATCATGAATATTGGCTTGAAGCAATTTAAAAAAATAAGGAATATGTAAGAATTTTAGCATTTTTGGTAGTTTTGTTACAAACTATCTCGTTGCTGCAGGTGACTGTAAAAATGCTTATTGGCGGCTTTGTAGGTATACTGCACAAAAGGAAAAAAAAAAAGAAGGGTTTCAGGCCGTACAACTAAATATCATGCAGAAAAGCAACTAAATTTGTGCAAAATTGCCTTTTGCCGTTTCAAGCGCCGTCAATTCTGCCTTGAACTTGGCCCAAATAAAATATGAAACATGGTGACTTAAGAGTTTATTGCCTTTTGTTCTTGAAATTTTAAATAAAATAATCTTGTTCTAAAGAGGAAAAAAACCTTTTGAAGGAGAGCTCTCGCGCCGCTACCTGGCGTCGTTTCTTGCGCCTCTTTCCTGCACAGCACACCACCGTCGAGCCTAGCAAAGCGTGCGACGGTGTCACGGTTTGCGCATGCAGGTAGACAGCGGGACTTCGAGTTGCCGGTATATCTTGGTGAGAAGAAGCTTTTTTCCACTCTTGTTGCTTTATGGATTTTCCTATTTCGACTGTTTAGTGCGGCGGTGTCCTCCTGTGGTCTTCCACTGTCTTGATATCAGCAGATGCTTAGCACTGCCAGGTCAGAGTATCCACTAGTAAGCTTGCTCTTTCTTACGTACACATCGCATTGACTCTCTAATATCAACGTGAGGACACTATTTAAACAGCAACACAAAAGCTTAGTGAACGGGCAATCTCAAACAATTAGGCGATGTGGTGTTAACGAATGCACGCCGTTGGATGCTGATGCCTCGTTTGTGTTTAAATCGGCTTTGAAACGGCAAATTCTTGCGTCGCTGAATAGTTCCGCTTTTAACCCCAGTATGCGTGACGGCTAGATTTCGCGGCGATATTGTCACGTTTCCCTTTTAGAAGTCCACGTCTGCTGGTGCTGCCCGTCGATTAGGCATTGCGTTTCGGAGTGTGAGGAGCCGCCCTCGGATACAAAGGGCACAACGGGCCTGCTATGGCTACGCACTGGCGGCACCTCCGATTATCAACACGATGCCCATTGCTTCTTCCCTTGCAGGTGAAAAGACGGACAAGGGGAAGCGGCAGTAAACTCCATTCTTTTTTTTGACTTAATCGTGTCAGCTATCGTCGCCGGTGGCATGCTGTATGGCGAAAAGGCGTTAAGAAGCGACGCCGGGTTGTGGTGCGAGTGTTCAACTTCAAAAATTGTTTTCTCGCTTTAAACATGAATTACTTTGATTAAACTTTCAGAATCAAAAGACAATCGATTGTTCTTCCAAACCCACCATATTTTGTATTTTTACTTGGACCACGTCAGGGTGAAATAAACCGCTGTTTATGCGTCAAAACACACTGTTTGGCAACTTCAGGAGTTTATTTTTTTACTGCAAGATATTTAATTGAGCAGTTTAAACATTTTTTTAAAGATTATATACCTGCAGGGCAGCCGGTAAAAAGTTCTATTGAGTCCCCGGAACAATTAGATATGTTTTAATAAAATAACAAACATGTTAAAATTTTCAGAAGTTGTGTTTTTTTTTAATAATTAAAGTAAACAAAACTGCTCAAGCCCAACCACATTGCAAGTCGAAAGCCGTGCAGATTTAAGAAAAAAATATTGTTGGGTATTTGATAAAAATGCTGATTTTTCATAAATTACACAGTGATACCCAGTTTCATGCTCTTTTCAAAAGTTAAAACCGCGCTCACGCCATCAAAAAATTTTTCAGTCAAAAATATCTTAGTGCATGGCTACGAACAATGTGGCAAAAGGCCAGGAATTTTTTTTTTAGAAATCGAAGGTGGTCGCGCGCAACTCCTGGGACGTTTGACATGGAATGACCCATGACAGAGTATTGCATAAAGGAAACTGCATGAAGGTAGTCTGGTACAAGGACAAGTTTTGCTGGATAAGCTTAGAGAACGTTCTTCTGCACAAGGTGCGAGCCACGCATAACATGCCCATCAGCTCGTGCTAGTGGTGTTGCTGTCTATGTACAACAGAGAGACAGGAGGTTCATGCCATGCTTACAAAGTGCACTGCTGGCATGGGTGTCTTGTTTACTAATGGAATGGAGCATTTTACTTAAAATCCCCTTTGTGTCTCCCTAGCCCCTTCGTTTCTTCTTCCCCAAGCAGGCGTGGCAAAGAGAGGAGGGGGGACAAACTTGCGCATGTTTCCTGCTCGGGAAGCTCATCCTCTATAGAAAAGAGTAGAAGCTGAACCAGGTGGTCCTGCTTTAGTTAATAGTTTCTCAATTTCAGGTGTTTCCCGCTGCGAGCTGTGGCACTGGAGAGGACGAGGCAGCAGTTCAGGGACAGGTGGACCTCATGAAGAAGGAGATGAAGAAGACAGTGTGGGATCAGAAAAAAGTACAAGATGCCATGAACAGGACCTACAAAACTAGGAGGGCATGGCTAAATAAAGAAAATTTGACTGTGGCTGCTGTGACGGATCGGTACCCAGCGCTTGCACTGACACAAGAGGTAGGTATTGTTTCTAAAATGTTTACCAATTAAAGCCAGCACTCATTAGTATGAATCGGTGTATGACAAACCATAGTGTGGATTTTTTTCGAGTCCACATAGATTTTAAATGCAACAAATTTTGGTTTCAATGGGCATGGGCATAACAGATTAGTGTTGGCTCCAGCAGATTTGGAGGAAAATTAAGTCCGGAGCGGCACTTACAAACTTATGATGCATTTTCGATTTCTCAGCAGTAAAGTAAGAATCATCAGCACTGCGGATCTAGTTAAAAACATTTAAGTGTTGGAAAGGCAGGGACCCTGTACAACCAAACAATCGGTACATTTATGAAGAACAAGGGAATCGAGGAGAAGCATATGTCTCTGGTGACATCTGCAGAAAGCACTTGCGACTCCAGGAGGCTAGCTACTTGGCCTTTTGTTGCGATGGTCCCTTTGTTGTGACTATGAGGCGCATGCACGCTCGGCATTCCTGTAAATGAATTTCTCCTGAGAAAGCGTGCTGAAGAGCTTGCTGTGATTTTGGGCCTTGGCCTTGTCAATTTCAAGGAGTGCTGACTTAGTCTGTTTAAAGTCCGGCACAATGTTGTCTTCAGGCAAATCTGCGGAGGAGCTGTTATCATTACCGAAGGCGTCATCTCCGAGTAGCAGACAAAGTAGTTGCCTTAAGTCCTGGCTAGATACGAAGATAGAAACATATTCAGTGTGTACGAAGATGGATTGTTTACACAGCTAAGCCAAGTAAAATGTACACTCCTGCATATAGTTAAGATCCGGTGAAACGTTGCCACATATTCACTCAGACAATCACAGCAGCCTCTCATCACACTGTTCTTTCTGAAAGATTTGCAAATACAGTAAAACCTCGTTATAACAAAATGGGATATAACGAACTAATGGATATAACAAAGCAATCATAATTCCCCTTGCTTGCTAATAGTGGGAAGAAATGGACATTGGCTATAACAAATTAATGGTTATAACGAAAGAATTACGACCGCTCCTTCAACTTTGTTATAACGAGGTTTTACTGTAAAGCTTCATGAAGTTGCGCTGTAAAAGGTTTTTCTATTTCTGCTCCTCCCCGTTTCGGATACAGCATACTTCAGATACAAGAGGGAATGTTTTGCGCTGGGTCACGTTAGTCCGTTGTAATGAATTTTGTCTGTATGACCAACTATACTCCATCTCATACTTAAGCTACAATGTTGCCAAGGCTAGTAGCACGAGTGCTTGGCTTTGTCTAGCGTTTCATTTGCATGTGGTCGCATGCAAATGAGGTGCTAGACAAAGCCATGTGCTTGCACAACTAGCCATGGCAGCATTCTAGCTTAACTATGAAACGGAGTATAGTAGCAGTCATATCGCACATCTGTTCAGATCTTCAATTCACAACCTGATGTGTTGGCTGCCACTAGCTTTCGCATTTCCTTGAACCGTGACAAGTTATCACAATGCCCTTGCTGTGCAGCTCAATGGCTGGTTGATTGTGGAGGCTGTGAACATGATTACCTTCACAGTAATATGCGGTTCACATTGTATGTAAGGTTCTTATGCTATTTATATATCTAGGTAGAACAATCCAAAAATATTTCAGTGGAACACATCAATTCCTAATAATTTTGTTTCACTTCTTATAAAAAGCGAGAATTGCCACAGCTTGTCTACATATGCCAGTAACTTGGCAGTAATGTAAGCATCGGCCTCAAACTGAAAGAAATATGATTAATGTTAGCGTGCAGCTGAGGGAATTGTTATGCAGAACTGCAAACACTGCAAGAGGTCAAAGCTAGGTGGTTGAAATAAGAGTATTAAAATATATCATTTAGGTAAAGCATGTTGTATCTCTGAGAGCAAAAAGCATGAATAGCCTAAATTGTCATGCTATGTTATCTTACAAAAATCTGTATTAATGTTTTATTATGATTTTGACATGGTGTTTTAAATAAGTAGAACAAAATTAATTTTTACAGATTCAGCTGGAGTTCCGACGCCAGACAGGGAGAGATGCCCAGGAGGGTCTCTCTGCCTTCCTGGAGAGAAGCACCAAGGCCCTCTATAAGCTTTTCTGTATGAAATCATCATCAAAACAAAAGGCAAAACAAATATTAGAAGCTGCCGAGAAGTGCCCAGAAGAGGGTGAAAGTAAGTATCTGAAGAAAAAGTGCTATGCCTCTGCATTAATGTTGTTTACAGGTAGAAATATTTCTAACCTTCATTATTTGCCTATTTGTGCCAACAGAACCAGCAGTTGTGATGCTGCTTACATTACTATAGCCTATGGCTCGAGCAGAACTTTTTCCAGCAATGGGGTATATTTAAGCACGGCTTGAGAGCGGTGCAATCTGGAAACAGTGCCATCTTTGTGTCTGCGTAACCAGACAACTGTGCCCGTACACTCCCACTGCTCCGTAATTCTTTCATGCGAAAGCGACAGCGACGGATGCTCTATGCAGTTGCGGTGGTGCGGTGCATGCAGTGTATAGTTTAGGCAATGTTACGATGTTGTCTACGGCAAGAATTTTTCTATCGCTGGGCCCTTATGGTGGACAGCGGATGGGAATGCGCACGCTACAAGAAGAAGGTGGAAATCTGCGGCGTGGATCCGTTCGCTCTACCGCCGCAGGTCCAAGAGCTATAGCTATGGCTGCGGGTGCAAATTACTGACATCTCGGGCTACCTCCTCCTGAAGACAAGTTTTGTCACGCTCAAGCAAGTATTTTAAGGGTTCCAGGAGCCGTTGATGAAAGCAGTGAGTGCAGAGAGCGCGATTGTTCTCATAGGTAAGGTAGACTTAAGATATTCGTGTAATTCTGGAGCACATGTGCATCTTTTTGCTTGATTCACTTTTAGAAGGCTAATCATTCTTTTTAAGAACTGTGCAGCACGTTGTAAAGTGATACTGGGCATTGTTGGTGCCGTGCGAGCAACACGAGTTGGAGTACAGGCTGTTGTTTGTCACTGGCAATCAACGGCGCCCGAAAGCTTTGAGTTTGTTTCGACTCAAAAGACGAAAACATGCTTGGAACGGGATAATTTTTTTCAAGGCTGATTTTCCGCCTCCTCTGGTAGGAAGCTTACGTTGGGGTCCACTCTTGGGAGTCCTTTATTGCGACTGAACTTGACCAGCACGATAGGCCTAGCCCTCTGAGATATCGACATGTCAAAAGAAATAATGTGCCCAATGCAAGAAGTGCCACAGACGTACCTGAAAACAAGTGCCATGAGTTCAATCTGCTTTGCCAGATCAAAGAACAATTAGACTTCTAAAAGTAAATATTCGTAGGTCTACCTTACCTGCAAGACAACGATTGCTCTTTCCGCAATTACTGCTTTCATCAACAGTGCCTGGACTCATCAGCCTGTAGTTACGGGCATTTGAAAGACTTTCTTGCGCATAACAAAACTTGTTGTTCAGATCAAGTAGAGTGCAACCCACTTACAACGATACCAGATATAACAATGTACCGCTTATAACGATCAGTTTCTAGAGTTTTTAGACTGGAAATGATCAGTTTCTAGTCCAGATATTACAATAATTTGTTATAACGATTAAAATTTCGGCTTTTCTCATTATCGTTATAAGTCGGTTGCACTGTATAGTGGATGTCAGTCATTTCCACCCGCGTCCGCCGCCTGTTGTCTTGGACGAGGCCATTCGGCAACAGACCGAACGGATTCACGCTGCAGATTTCCATCTTCTTGTAGTGTACATGTTCCTGTTGGCTGTCTGCCATAAGGGCCCAACGATGGAGAACTACTTTCTGAAGATGACATCATAATGTTGCCGCAACTATCCACTGCACCGTAACAAAACTGTGTAAAGCGTCCGTTGTTTGTGCATGGTGTCGGCGGAAAAATCGCCGGGTAGTGCGGGTGCGGCGGTGTGGTTGTCTGCTCTCGCGGACTCAAAGACGGCACTGTTCCCAAAATACACTGCTTCCGAGACTCGCGCGAATACATACTATAGGTTGACATGCCGAAGCTAAAACGAAGTAATGTAGCGAGTACCCGGTAAAGGTTCTAGATAGTATATTGTGATTGTATAACCATGGTACCATTTAATTGCAAAGCATTATTTCCCAAGATGTTTTTTGTTTTTTCTCCAGCTCTCCTTGCCAACGGTGCCCTGATCTTGCTGCCATGCCTGCTGAAGGAAAGAAGCGACAACCTCGTGAAGAGCCTGGTATGAATGGCTCGGCATGCCTATTTCAATTAAATTATACATTTATTATTAGAGAGAAAAGCCCATTAGGATATTAACAATAATGACTGGGAAAGTGGAAGGTGATAAAACTTGTTTATTAATTTCATGTAGTAACAAAAGGGTTCACAGGTATATAATGTACAGGGCAGGACATTTCGTGAATGAGTGATTGGCCAATATTTTCCCTTTCTCTTGCAGAGCTGGAAAGCTGTAATCAGAACAATTACTGTGGTGAAATGTGATAAGGAATGCAAAATTTGTCGTTAGCTTAAATGAGAATAAGGTGGAAAACAGGGGTGATGTTGTGCTTGCAGCAATGGACCTTTTCCACATATCGATGGCACCAGGCCGTGAGTGCCCGAACTAAAAATCGAGAAAGTGACCTACCTGCACTACCAATCGATAGTGGGAGCTACGCTACCAGTTTCTTCGCTCTCTGAGCTGCGACGCGTGCCCAATGCGACTTTAAAGAGGGGCATCCGTGGCGTCCGCCTAAACGTCGTGTTTTTCTTTCCGTCCACTTCCTTTTCTGTGTAACACAATTATATATATGCTGCAATTACGTGTTCTACTCGCTGATCCACAGCCTACTCTGAATTTTTTCAATTTTTCGTGCAGTCTTTTGCTGCTTCGCATCGGGCGCTCGCACGTGCGCAGAATGCTTGTCGGAAAAGGTCCATTATGTCGCACCAGGCGCATATTTATTTTGGGGAGAAGAAATCCTACTTTCTCATAAGAACAAAAGCTAATCTCTAACATTGTAAACCCTGATGTTTGGGGAGGATGGGATGAAAAACAAATGCAGAGCTCCTCCCGACCGTCATGATGTAAAACACTACAACAATTGAAGGAATAGTGCTTTTTCGCGTTTATAGGTACCCTCAAAAAGAGCTGCCAACCTGAAACATGAGATATGCTTGAGTGAACTGAGTAGTTCAGTTTTATAATTGTAGTAGTTAGTATTTAAAACGAAATGGGTTTTAATTACTGTGAAATGAGAGCATCCGTCCATTCCACAATAAGTGTCTCACAATTTTGTAACATTTAGAAAATATGCAAAGGACTTATCTTTGCTTACTGAGGGCCTCAGAAGCATTCACGTCTTAATTTTTCGTGATCATTTTCAAATTTTGAGTGGGCGCTTGCTCGAGACTTTACGGTAGACATCGCAAATATTTTTTTTTTTCCATTCGAAAGTTGAGGTTCAGACCAGCAAGCTTATATGGATACATACAACCTTTTGTGCTTTATCGTTTACTTAAAAAAAACTGCACTGTGGGACTGTTTTCGAAACACTAATCTTGCGAAAAATATATGACGACATAACAAACTGAACAATTACCAGGGTGTGTGTAGAGACCTTCTGAGGTATTCTTTTAATGTCATTTGTCTTGCCAGAACAGCAAGTTTTGATTTGAAAAGTGAGCTTACAATGTATATTTTTCCCAAAATGCATGGATAAACATTAAAAGCATCTCGGCCCAACAGCATTACCAAATTGAAAGAAGTATAGGTTGTGCTTTTAATAGGAATAAGAGGACTCAAGAAATTTTTTTAATTGTGCAGCAATTTGCATGTTGGTATTTTTATTGAAATGGCCTTTGTCCTTGTCACAGGAGCCGGGCACCCAGTACATCAACCCAAGTATTGTGTACACTGGTGAGGACGCGCTCACATCTTCAGTGTATGCGGTCAGAGTAAAAGGTGTGACCATTGATGCTGCAAGCCTTAAACAAGCAGTGGCGTTGTTGATCTGCCTGTTCTGGGCTTTTAACATTGAATACTCAGTGGAAATCAAAAATACACTCACCCTTCTTGAGCGTGCCATTGGGGTTTCGCACACAAAAATGGGCACACGTGCATTGCAAGTCTGGAGCTGCTTGTGAGTTCCAGACCTGCTTTCGTTAATTTATAATAAAGCTGTTCATAGTGTACCATCTGTGCAGTGCCTTATAGAGACTTGTTTTGGAGTTGAACATTGGTTTAAACCTAAGTTACTTTAAATGATGCCATCGTTTTTTTAAACGAAAGCCTTCTGATTTAAATGTGTACTCTATACTTTGAAAATAAACATATTAAAAACAGTGGTGGTCTTTATTGGAACAGGCACCATCTTCTGTGTTTTTTTAGAAACTTGGAAAGTTTGCTCATAAATTTCCACAAGCATTGATTAATAAGCATGCTTCACATTCACACTTATGTCAAATTGAAAGGTATGGGATCACAATGGGATCACAGCATAACTAGGGGTGTCGCGAACCGGCCGAGGTTCGAGTTTGACCTGGTTCAACTTTTTCGAACTTTTAGTGGAAAATTCGACGAACCTTGTATTGAGGTTCGACTAATGTGCGCATGCGCGACAGACTGGCCAGTTGGCTTCGGATTGGATGGTGATGGCTAAGAGATGAACTAAGGGCAGCCCTGATCGGTTATATAGTTAATACAGTACAACGAATTAAGTTATCAACTTCTTCAGTTATTAGAATCAGTTTCTTTTAATTGTAGCTGTTCACAAAATTAAAATAGTCCTTTGCATAAAAAAAAGATTCTCCAAACCTAGACATGCCTGTATCAAGGTCTGGCCACACTGTCCACAAAGTCGAACCGGCCGAATCTGGTGAAAAGTTCGAAGGTTCGTCGAACCGGTTCGACCCAGTCGAACCCCGAAAGTTCGACCTAAAAATCCGGTTCGACGAAAGTTTGCGACACCCGTAAGCATAAGCGAAAGCCCACAAATGCCATCGTATCACTGGGTCCCAGGTGCTGTTCTTTTCAATATTCAATCGGAAAATGGCGGCCAATCAAGTTTTCGAATACATGGGGCTCTGTGGCACCAGAATCCGAAAACCGGCGAAAATCGGGTCCATTTTCCCATTGAAGTTTTCAGAAAATCACTTATAACTTGATTAAGTTATCGGATCGCACTGAAACTTTGGCATCTGGTTGCAGAGCCGTATATTGGGAGAGCTTGGCCAGTGGGTGTGGCGACGAAGGCGCCGGAGAGGAGATAAGTAAATGAAAGGGAGGAGAGTGCCGAAGGAGCGAGAGAGAAAGAAGGGAGCGGAGAGGAGACGGCCGCCATTTTTTAGCAACGCTGCCGGAGACTGGTCGGAGGAGAGCACTGCTGAGGCTACGCATCGTCTGCTACGGGCCGACTTCTTTTTCGCCTGAATAAAAGTCGCCGAAAAATCTTCATTTATTAGCTTCTTAACCCACCGAGGAATAAAATAATGTCATTTTCTTGCCAGAGCCAGCTATATAAAAGGCAATAATCGAGATTTAGGTGCCGACCCCACGCATTCCGCCGGGAGAATGATCTAAGATGGCGGCCCTCTCCACTCAGCTGGGAGCAGCCGGGAGTTCACGCGCATGCGCTCATGCCTCTCGCTCTGCGCCGCGTGCTGATTGGCTCACTCGGGAGGAGCGCGTTACGGCGGCGAGATCATAGACTGACCAAACTCCCCATATACGGCTCTGCTGGTTGTAGGGTGCCTACATGTCTGTCTGTCTCAGGGTGAAGACATCCATTGTTGCCCTGAATGTGCCAGCGCGTGACGCTCTCGCGCACTTGGTGCGTGACTTGGGCGGTAAAATGGCGTCTATGCATTAGCCAAAGCTACGCGCTCGTGCTGAGTGACACCGGATTGCGCGCACTTCAAAATGCATAGAAAGAACGATTGGGCGGAAAAATGGCCGAGATGTCACCACTCAAGCAAAAGCGCGCGTGTGTATGAAGGCACTCTAGCTGGTTGTGACCTCTAGCGCTACCTATGGGCGGAGAATGAGCGTTCGGCGATGCCTAGTTTATTTTTGCAGTGAAAACAGCCCTGTAATCTTTTTTTTTTGTGACACCCTGTACATACGTGCATGTCTGGCGAGGCGCTCAAAGCTTTTTAGTTCGAGCGCTGTTCGTTAGGTGGCGCGTGTTGCCGCCGAATCCAAGGAGTCGCACGTTTATGTGTCTACTTATTTGAGTGAAAAACATGGAAGCGTTGAGGCCACAGATCGGTCAAGGCGTTCCACAACTCCACGGAGTGGCCTACGGAGGGTTCGGTTGTCGGCTTCTCGTCTTAGTGGGGTCAGTCTCGTAGCCAGTTGAAGGGGTGTTTTGTGCAGTGAATAGACCCCTTTCGGAATAGAGCGCCACCTGTTGCACGCAACTACAACTAGGTCCGCCGCCATCACGCAGGGGTCCCGCCAGAACCGCCTGCATCTTACCGCCTACAACGGTGCTGCTTACACGTTGAGTCCCAGTCTGCGAGCGCCGCTTCAATATGGCATCGCATTGCGGCGTACCTTTGTGTACGCAGGATGGATACGTTGACGGAGACGGAAAAAAATCTACGTGTCGGACAAGTTCTAAAGTGGTCAAAAAGAAAAACCGAGCCCTCGTGTTGTTTACAAAACTTTCGCGGGTTAGACAAGAAAACGCTCTTATCATCCGTAAGCGGAAGCATCGCGAACGATTATATGTTGTAGTAGTGTGGCCGTCTGTCGAGCCCCGTCTAACTAGAGAGGTACGGCCGCGGTTCAGTGCGCGGCTCGCATGCGCGAGCGGCTCCCTCCTTCAGTGCTTCTTCACTGAAACCGAGGCCATTTTAGGTTCTTGTTCGACGTGTAGATGCATGATTACTTCTTCCGCAAGTTCGTTTCCTTTACTCACGCCGGTAAAAAGTTTTCCAGAAAACAGACGTCGGGTGGAGGGGGTGTACAGACTAAATGCAGTGTGCACCGAATCTGAAGATTACTCGAACCCGTCTTGAGATCGTGGGAACTTTTGGAGTGGTGGCCTGAACAGAGTGCCAAGGCCGTACCGCAAGACGTTTAGGGACGTTACGCTATTAATCAGTTTGGAAATTTGTGAGAATGCTGCCAATGAGTTGGTGTTTAGAGCATGTTCAACCATTGTTAGTCTGTTCAACGGTTTTTATTCCTGAACACATTGTATGTTGTTCTTGGGTCTTCCTCTTGCTTCGGTAGCAGGAACCCTTGATGAAGAAACTTCCTGCATTGAATGGGATAAAAAAAAAAAAAAAAAATACACACCGGTTTTACACTCAAACAGCTGTGCATATTTTCTGTGCAAATAAAGATCAGTTCCAGCACACTTCTTTTTTTTTCTTTTTTTTTGCAATGTCGCATTTTAAGTGGGTTCAAACAAACGTGGTACGTTTACAAACGCCGTGAAATAAACCCAATACATCAGTGGTTCTGGAAAGTCTACTCTGTAGCTTTGTGAGCAGTGCCATAAACCGCTTAACTTCTTTGTCTTCAAAAGGTTACCGAGGAAGGAATTTAAAATGCTGCCTGCCACCCACCCGTACAACCTTTTCTGCTGTTCTGTACGATTTGCGATTGCGATTTGTTGAACACTCAAGGTTGTGACTCGTGAGGCACCTTTTGCAGTTCCTTGTACGCGGTCGTAAGTTTATTGGAGGGGTACGAAAAACGAAACGAGCGAGTTCTTGGCTGTCACCGAGCGACGAGCTCACGACGGGGGCAGCGTACCGGGTCGTTCGGAGTGGCCAAGCTAAAAGCTCGATCACTATGATTAACTGTATTAAAATTATGGAATGCTACTAAAAAAATCACTACAAAACAAGAAAGAACTTGCCTGTTCCGTGAGTAGTTAGCCCTTATCGATGCGGGGACCACGGATGCTTCGACGAGGAACTTGTAGCTTTTTTCCATGCACCGGTTTGTGCCTGACCGGCTCCTGCAGAACTGCTCCACCTCTCTGTCACTTATATGTGGCAGTATCGATAGATCATTAGACCAACAGGTGATCGAGAAAACACCCGCACAAGCCATAGCTCAAAACGCTACGGCGGCTACGCTGCACGCCGACCGGTCAAACGAGTCGAACCCTGCGTAATGGCGGCGATCACCCAATGTTGCTAGATGTTTTACTATTCCGGCTAAATTTTTTGCAGTGTTGCCAAAATTCCGAAAGGGGTCTATTCGCGACTCCAGCAAAACGGACGCCACCAAGCGGGAAAACCGGGAACCAGCCGGTCCAGGTCGCTCGCGCCCCTCCGCGTCTCTGGTGGCTTTCGCGGAAGCGTGTAGTCGGCGCGGTCGCGAACACTGTAATTTGACGAAGGTCCGAATATTTCTTAAGTTTGCCTGAGCGATCATTAGTGTGGTGAAGCCTCAGTAGATTGTTTTCTTCTATTACGTGTTTGAAAGCCCGTTTATTCCACAGCACACGGTCGCGTGCTTTCGATTTCTTGGATGGGGAGGAATCACGGAAAAACGTTTTGAGTTCTTGTCTGTCTCGATTCACATTCAAAGTGACGACTACTTGGTAACTGATAAGTGGTTTCTTTATAAGGATGTAGAACAGTGGACTGAGGGCGACAGACGAGGCATTTCACTGGAGGGAATATCAATGTTGCAGTCAAGTGAATGGAAAGGTTCGATAGCTGCTTTCCTTGAGTTTGGTTGTGTTCGGCTATAGCTTCAAGTTTGAGCCACCCACCCCGGTCGGTTCGTGGGCTATTCATCTTGACTGCTTTTCGCCGGAAAAGCCTCTGGACCACGCTGAAGGTGTTGGGCTGATTTCGCAATTACTTGATTCAGGAAAACCTGCTCGCTGCAAATTATGAATGATGGAAATGATCTGTTTTAAAAAGGTGGGGGACGAGTCTCGCAACGTTAGATGCTGTCACGGCATTTTGACCTATCGCGCCTCCAATATTTATATTACGAGGACGTCGAAGCCAGCAGCAATATACGTCTACATTGCTCAGGTTGACCGGCCACAAAAAATACTAATTTTTTCCGTTCAGGATTCGAAGCAAAGTTCAACGCAAAGAGGTTCTGCGTGAATGTTCGATGAAGACTTTCTTCAGTTTGTCTCCGTGCTGCCGGCTATAGAACCATTTGGCTAAGTTTAAGTAGTATCTCTCTGTCTGTCAAATATACTTTTATTCAACAGCTCAGTTAATAGCTAGTCAACTCATATTTCAGCCAGAAGAATATACTAATATCACCTTAGTGGGCATAGTACATAATATAATACATAACCCGCTCGTCAAAATATCTTCTCGATTGCTACTAAAACCTGAATTGAAATACGAGT